ATCCTCATCAAACACACCTGCCTGTAGCTTTCCAGTGATCTTGAAGACATTGATTAGCTGGTTCAGGTGCATTTGATTAGGGTTGGAGCTAAACTCTGCAGGACAGTGGCCCTCCAGGACCGAAGCTGCCCAGCCCTGTCATACATGATACTGACTAATAGTTTTGACTGAGGAAATGTTTAAATCAAGTGGACTCACACGACAGGTGAATTCCAGTCAGTGCCTATAAAAACCTGTTTGATACTTCATAATTTTCAGTGGTTGCAAAAATTGTGGGCGACAAAAATGGCTGAGAATATGGAAATTCTACAGCTAACAAACTTCATGCTGTACCCACGCTGATAGATGTCAGTAGTCAAAGACCACTGTTGTATCGTCGGAAACCAAAAAAAGTCGATTATGTAGTGCACCATTAAGTAAATAGTACTGGAAACCACCAAAAAACTCCTTAGCAACCTCATAGCAACATGCTAAAATATATATATAGTTTGGCTGAATGTACAGAAAAGTAAGTGTTGTGCCAGATTTTAAGTGTGAACTGTCCCTCAGAAGTTTCGGACGGACTGTGCTGTACTCTGGGGGAGCCGTGCTACATCATTGGATCCAACAATGTTCCAGTGGTCACCGGCCCGCCTCCGGTTGCCGTGAAGAGGCCCACTATAAACTGGAAAGACGTGAACAGGTGCGTCAAATGCATGCAGTCACAAATGAAGTGACTTTAAACAGATAGATCACCCAAAATGTACAAATCTGTCATCATTTACTCACCTGTATGAGTTTCGAGTATCTGCCGAACACAAAAGAAGATATTTTGAAGAATGTTGGTAACCATAGACTTCCATGATATTGTTCCATACTATGTATGGATATATTGTTCCATACTATGGAAGTCAATGGCAACCATCAAATGTTTGGTTACATTCTTCAAAAGAAGAAAGAAATTCATACAGGTTTGGAACAACTTGAGGGTGAGTAAATGATGACAGATTATCCCCAAAAATATAATCTTTTCAAAACCTAGTAGAGTGGTTTCTAAACGAGTTCTCTTTGCAGCTCCATGATCTTCGGGCAGAGTAAAGACAGTGCGGAGAACTCTCTAGTGAGCGAAGGACTGAAGGAGGCCATTAACTCGTACCTCTACATGACGGAGGAATGTGAGGACTGCTGTCAGCTCTGGGACACATGAGTGGAAGACCGTCATGAGACTTGGAGGACGAGTGTTTGAATGAGGTTGGACTCTTGATGCTGTGATATGGGATGAACACTTTACAGAAACGAACCCAGAAACGAAAAATGAACCAAAATGCATCGAAGCGTCTATTTTCATTTGTGTATTTCTGCATAAAAACAGTTTAAGAGCGAAAGCGGTGTCGGATGAAGTTCCCGGACGCGCGCACTGACTCATTGCTGTTCTTCCAGAGTGGGTGCTGGAGACAAAGATGTCACAGTTTCCTGTGTGGACGCGCTCCTGGCGGACATGAAAGAGAAAACGACTGAAGGAAAGAACGACAGAGGGGTGTGTGAGTGGGAGGGGGAACACAGCTGGGTGGCGCACACATCCATTTCCACTCCACTCACACTTTCTGGAACGTTATCAGTGTCGTGCTTATTACAAATATGATCACAATCAGAGAATGATACGTCACAAGAAGCACAAAGAGGCTTTAGCAATGGTATCAGAGTTTGATGTCATTTTTTGTTGAAAATGCCAAACAAAATACGTATTTATGACTTATGACAAATGTTGTGAATCTTTGTAAATATATATGGTCGCTTAAAGAGATAGTAAAGACCCAAAAAAATGAAAACATTTACTCACCTTCACGTCATTCCAAGCCTGTTTGAGTTTCTTCTGTGGAACACAAAAGATCAGTTCCAGATCCCATTGACTTTAGTTGTATGGTCAAAAAATATAATGGAAGTCAATGGGAATCGCAACAGTTTGGTTATCAACATTCTTCAAAAGATCTTTAAAAGATCTTCTTTTGTGTTCAGTCATACAGGTTTGGAGCAACATGAAGGTAAGAAATCCCCCAGTTTTCATTCTTGGGTGAACTATCTCTTGTGATATATATCGACATAAGTTATGTTCTTTTAAATAAACTCAAGAGAAAAAACAAGGTCATCTTTGTATTTGTAGAAGCTGACAAAAGCATCTTGAATGAGGTGTTTCCTGTCAGTCTTTGCACCCATTGTTCAGAAAAGAACCGCAGTCTTGAGCAGCAGGAAGTGAAGGGCTATGCATTGTGCAGGGGGATATTCATACCAGCTATGTTCTTACCGTGTAGTGCTAATGAGAGCACTCTCAGAATGGCTTTAGATATTAAAAATCAGAATTGATTTGAGAAGTTCCAAGGACTTTTATCTGTTACATAAAACCACAGTTTCTCCTCCACACGACTTTGATGACAGACATTTGAACTAAAGATTTCCATTTCATATAATCTTGACAGGCTGTATGTTTCTCTACGTGTAGTAAAGTGAATGATTGGCACAGTAGTTTGTTTGATGATAAAAGGTAGAGCTCAGTTACATTGCAGTGCCACCTGGAGGCTGTGGTATTGCAAATATACATGTATGTGTATATATATATATATATATATATATTTGATAGTGTTTAGACACTTGAATGTCATTAAGATAAATTATTAAACAACATAGATATTAAAAATCAGAATTGATTTGAGAAGTTCCAAGGACTTTTATCTGTTACATAAAACCACAGTTTCTCCTCCACACGACTTTGATGACAGACATTTGACAGGCTGTATGTTTCTCTACGTGTAGTAAAGTGAATGATTGGCACAGTAGTTTGTTTGATGATAAAAGGTAGAGCTCAGTTACATTGCAGTGCCACCTGGAGGCTGTGGTATTGCAAATATACATGTATGTGTATATATATATATATATATATATATTTGATAGTGTTTAGACACTTGAATGTCATTAAGATAAATTATTAAACAACATTTTTCAAAGGAAGTTAGCGCAAGCACACTTTCATGTCTCAAAAAGTCCTTTAGGTTTCGGTTATAAAAACAGTGTTTAAAGTCTGCATGAAATCAACAGAGCAGCATTTCAAACTACCTTTACAAACACCCTTTTACCCGTCACGACTCAAACATCACAAATACAGCTCTTACGGGGTTATGAAAGTGAAGCATGCCTTAGGTTAAAGTGGACTACTTTCAAAGAAAGGTCCAACATATTAGCAATACTTTTAATTTGAACTTTAGAGAAGAAACTCCACAAGTGTGTCGCATCGATTGAAACCCAACCAGTCCATCAAATTCCTCCATCATGTAAAAACTGCCAATGTTTACCCGTTTTACTTTGTTGTCTGTAGGGTTGCAAAAAGGTAACATTCCAGAAGTTTTGAAAACTTTCCAGGATTTTTTGGAATATTCCAGGGATTTTTGGAAAGTTTCCGGAAATTTTCCACCCCTTTGCAACCCTAGTTGTCTGTATCTGTGTATTTTGGCAAGTCTTTTGGCTTAAAGTTCTGTACCGAAATCTTTATTTCTTTTTCCACACTGGCTAAACACCCTCTGGCTGAGCCTGCTACAGTAGCCATGCCCCAAACGCTCGCTATTGGCTGCGCAGCGGTATGGGCGTCTTATTTTAATGATCGGACAAACATTTTAAGCCTGCCACAGATCACTTTAATTATTTGTTGCCATCAGGATGTGAAGAGAATTTCAACCAGTATAACAAAAAATATTTCTGGAAAAAAAATGCCTTCCCTACATTTAATTAAATCCTAAACATCTAAACTTCAAATAATTGAAGACTTTAATGAAAGAGAGAGAATGAGAGAAAAAGGTTTTAAAATCTAATTTTAATGACGGATCAAATACCAAATTAATATGTATACAAGCACACAACGCTGTGCCGAAACGGTCATGACAGATAATTCAGTCTGCAAAACATCTCAATGTTATGAAGGACGCTTTTAAAAAGGGAAAAAGAAATGGAGGAAGGTCAACCATCAGTTGAAGACTTCTATCTCTTGGGCCAGTTTGGGCGAATCCCTCTGCAAACAGAAATAATCCCATCATATAAATGCTTTTTTTTTTAAACCCTGGCAGTGATTCATTTCTTCAGTCTAACTGTGTGTGTGTGTATGTGTGTGTGTTACCGGTCAGATTTGGCAGGTACATAAGACATGCTCCTGCCACCCACAGCGCTTTTCTTCTGTCCTTTTTGGTTTTTCTGAGAATCAAAATTGGCTAAAAATCAGTGATCTTGCACAGCTAAATCAAACCAAGCAGATATTTCTATAAACAGTGAATGCTTGTCGTTTCAAAACAGGTTAATACCTTCTGCTTGGGTCCATGTGCTTGTCTGTTTGGATCAAACTGTGAACTCTCTTTTGATTTACCTGTGGAAAAAAATACAAGCAATGAAGACAGTGCCCTGAAAACACCAATCGAAAAAAAAAATGCATATGAAAAATGACAGAAAAAAGGCAGATGTCTTACCAGCGAATATTTTAAAATTTGACTGGCTGTAGTCAAAAGGTTTGAAGTCTTGTTCGGGAACTTCAGGCTCTTGAACATTCTGTTTTTTCTGAGCAGGTTTTGTCGACTGATCAGCCACCGATGTCTCACTTTCAGTCTTTGAGACTTTAACGTTTGGTTTAAGACTCTCTTCACCAACATCACTGGCAGCTCTCTCTCTTTTCTGTCCAGCTTGCTTTGCTTCCTAAAAACACAAGATTGTCAAAACCTGAGTGTAGAATGAAGAAATAATCCAATGCAGCTTGTACAGTTGGTGAGCTGAAGCTTCCTCACCATTACTTGCTGCCGGACAGTGTGAACATTTTGCAGTGACTCCTGGTAACTCAGTTTGGCTTTCTTTCGTTTCTCTGAAAGACAGATACAAACATTTATGCACAATTAAATTATCACAAAGATGGTTTAATGAAACCTCAGACTACACAGAGTTTCTATAAAACTGCTGTGTTATTTGTACCTTGAGCTTTCTTGGCCTGTTCTTTAGCTTGCCGTTTCTCCTGCGCCTCCTTCTGCTGCTGCTCAACACTCTGTAATTTCCAGCGGTTTCGGATCTGTTTTAAACAGAACAACAAAAATAGTCAATATAAGCTACTTGCCAATTTAACCTGAACCCCTTCACTGCACTGGGAATAATCTTGGAGCATTTGTGACTCCCTGAATCAAATTGATCGGTGCCTTCAGATTCACACCCCATATTTATATGGTTTTCTGCACATTTGTCTACACCTGTTGTCAAATGTCCTGTCCATTGTAACATATATCTGTTCTGTTAAGCTTAAACATGATAAAAGCATGCCATAAAGAAGAGACGCTAAACATCCCCACTGTGTGTCATGTTAAGAACGGGTTAAAACCATTCAAACTGGAGACATTATTTTGCTATAAGAAAACAAAAAAACTATATACACAATACTAAAACTTCACAATATGTAAATAAATGGTAAATAAGTAAATATAATTAGTTTTATTCAATATTTACTAAAGTAAATACACTGTAAATAAAATAAATACTAAATATAAATCATTTTATATATTAAGAATAACTTATTATAGAATATTATATAAAAGGTACTAAATATATATTTATTAAAATGTATATATAATAAAATATAATTTATATATAAAGTAGGGATGCACTGATACCACTTTTTTTCAGAACGAGTCCGATACCGATACTTTCATTTTTGGTACTCGCCGATACCGATACCTGAATTTTCACAGCATTTGTAAAAATTTTTTTTTTATATATATTGGGTACAGAAACAAAATAATAATAATAATAATATGAGATGTATACATGTCATATTATTATTCATGAAATACAGGCGTGAATATTGAATGTTTAACATTATATTAATTACTTGCATGTACTTCATAGACATCCTTAATCTCTAATAACTCCATTCTACTCTCTGTTGTTCTGTTTTCAGTGTTACTTTTTCGATTACGAGTACAGGAGCGCAGTATTGGGCCCGATACCGATACCAGTATCGTATCGGTGCATCCCTAATATAAAGGGATATAATATATATTATATATAAAGAGGAAAAAAAGAAACTATACCTCATAAATCTTTGAAGAGGGGTCATATTTGGCATTCTTGGATATGTGAATGTCCTTTGATGGTAAATACTGAAAACGAGTGTTGAAATGTCAGTGAATAAGTACACAACACAACTTGACAAAAGGCATGAACTAAACTGAAGTACTGTACCATTCTGAAGGGGTTCTCAAAGGACCCCATGATGCTGTGAGCTTTTTGTTGTGCCACAGTCAGATGAGCAGGAGCTGCTGCTGCCTCCTCCTCCTCCTCAAACACAAATGACACATAACATCCTCAACACACATCAAAACTCCCAAAACAGACTATCCAACTGAAGAGGAAGACCATTAACAACTACAAATGTTTCAACATTTTACTAAATTAACTTCCGCTAGACATGCTAAATGATAGACACATAGACAGGTTTCTCGAAATTTCTTTTTTAAAGTCCTACTGCGAAGAGGCTGATTTTTGCTGAAGCTATCAGGCCGTGCAAGGATTTCTCCTCTGGGTTCACGCTTTCATCCTCCTCCTCTGAAAACAAAACTCCTGGTTTGATTGGAGTTTCTAAATGCATATGTAGAGAAAATATCAATTAGTGGTTTTAAAATAACACTAAGGCAATTTAAGACTCATGAGGTCTGCACAATATCTAGACCTACCAAAGGAGGAGAGGTCCAGGAAATCACTTTCAGACGAGCGGGAGATGTCATGCGGTCCGAATGAAGTAGGCTGTGGCTAGAAGACAACAGCAAAAGGGGCAATTCAGAATAAACTCAATAATACTGCTGCTTCTGCCAGTTTGGATCCACAGAAAAATGCTGAACATATCGGTCAACACACCTTTCTTTTAGGAGTCATTGATTTCCTCTTTTCAGCAAGTACCTCTGTCTGAA